TATATATATATATATATAATCTCATTCCAATAATATATTCTTATACGCACACGCACGCGCGCACTTACACGCAGCTCACGCACACATGTCCAGCATCCACATATACACACACGCGCGCGCGTATATGTAATAAGTTACGTCAATTTAAAACTAATGCGATTCTTAGCATTTCACTCGACTTTGTGTGTTCGCAAGAGCTCATGCTCTCTGTAACAACGTGGCGTTCGTAAATACCTATTGACAATTCTTCAAGTTCGATCGATTAGAATTCATTTGAACAATAAACGTATCCTCTTCGCTGAGAAGCAAACAAGGCAAGGCGTTGTTAAATATCGCTCACAGGACGTCCGAATGAATCAACGAGTGCCATCGGTTAAAAGGCGAATTATCATATAACTGTTCATATTGACTCGTGTATATCTCAATCACTTGTCGCATTTTTTTGTATATATATATATATATATATATATACTTTATATATTTTATGTAATAATAATTATACGTACGTCTCTTATACGCATGCACAAATACATCGCGACAATACCTCTACATTCCTTCGTTCATCCCCATGAAAATTTCCGATCGCACGTTTCCATGACGTTATTATATTATTACGGAATGTGCGTGTGTACCATGTGCGCCGCATAAATGTGATTGTATTTATATTAATATTTTCTTATCCCTGCCCTTCGTAGTATAGATGTTTCCCCATATGTGCGTGTGTGAAGATCATAGTACGTCTAAACCTTTTTATATAGTACGAGAAAACTCAAAAACGAAATACAAACTAACTAAGAAGCTAAGTAATGAAAGAAACGTGTGCCATTCTTTATGGAGCTCGAGCGAAATTGTGTTCTCATAGCTGATACCATTTCTTGTCCTTGTATTTGAGCATCAGTCCATGAGCGGTTTGCGAGAAATTCTCCGCCTCCGACATCATGCGCGCTGTCCGTTCCTCGAGGTGCGACAGCTTCTCTCCACGCTCCACAACCATCTGATGTGCCATGTTCACTTCACCGGTCGCGCTAGAAACTCGCTCTCGGAGAGCCTCATTTGGTCCTGGAATGTGTTTCGCCACCGTGCGCGACGCACGGCCGCTGGATTCACCGACTGCAACCGACAAAACTTGTATTCACACTTTCAATTTTGTTGTGAAATTTGGATAATTCGATAAAGAAACGCGTGTCTACTTACACAACTCTTCTCGGTCGAGGCTCCTCGAACCACCACCGAATAAGCCTTTGAAGAAACTCTCTTTAGGCGGTTCTGGCATATCATGGCCGATGAACAGATCACCCATCATCTCTGTCAATTCACCGCTAATCGAAGAGAAACGAAAATACAGATTGAATTATTATAAATTCAATGCTTATATAAGATATATCAATTTAATATGTGTGAAATGTTCACTTCTTCTATCGATTAGACAGAAAAAAGAGATAGTACCAGAATTCACTCGAAATGGAAAACTTCTGAATCTCCATAGGTGACGATAGATATAAACCATGGCCTCGGTTGCTGAAGCAAAGGGTCTTTGCAATCCTGGAAAAAAGATACGCGAAACAATGTTACTACAATGCATCATTTTACAAGTTGCAGGTTACATGTTCAAATGACAGTACGAAGGTACAACTGTAAAAGAGTGTTTAGTGTGCGTTTTTATATACATAGCGCGTAAAGCTTTGGTTAGTGGATAATGAAAATCATTTGAATAGTTATCGAGGGTACAAATCGCGCGGGAAAAACACTTTCCTACATGTAATTATTATGAAGCCTGTGTGCGGTAAAACCGGTGATATATCGACATATTGTATGTTGCGCACAAGGCACTGTGTGTTGTGTAGAGGTTTCTTATTGTGAGCTGTATTTCATAGATGACTTACTGATCGGTATCGCCATTAACAAAGAGTTGATGACCCCATATGGACAACATGGGGTCTACAATGCCCTGTTTTGTGGTCTGAAAACTGTGAGAGATTACAGAGACAGGAGGAAAGTGAACGCTCGACCATATACCGGTTAATATAAGATTCACGTTATTTCGTATAATTAGCATTAACCCTTAAAACAGCCAGCCCAGTCATTTTTAAAGAGATTCTTTATACTTTTCGTACGATATATCTTATTCTCTGCACATGTAGAAAACTTGTAAGTGAAACAGACGGATAATGATCAATGTTGCCTGAAAGTTTGTGTGGTGCAAGATTTTGCAAGTCGAAATTGTATTAATGGTATACACACAATGAAACGTCTCAAAATGAAAAGTAGAAAAATAGAACTTACGGATGAAGAAATGCTCCATAAAGAAATGGTAATTTTATATTTTATAATTATATAGCTTGAAAACGTGCGAGAAAGGTAACCACAATGGAACGTGCAAGTATTTCCATTTTAATGTAGCGTAAGTTTATTCCTTTAAGAAACTGAACCGCTCAGTTTGTTTCACAACGCTACGCCACTCTTTTCAAGTCTATGCATGTATGTTCCAAGAAACAGGAAGAGTGCAGTAGTAAGTGCTCATGAGAAACGCTACGAATTAAGCATGCTCTAATTGTGTTAAGGGTTAACGAGTGTTTTCATTATTGCAGAGAGAAGCCGCATGCTAACAGTATCAGTTAAAAGTTGTTAACTTATTTATCAGTAGATGCTCACACACGTGTATTCTTATGGGACAAATATACAGAATTATATTTATATAGAATGTTCCAGCATTAAAGACTTGAGAGTTTCTCGACTTGAATCAATCACACACGATTGCAGTCGTATTCTGAATCGTCAAAACAAAAAAAAAACAGACGTGCAAAGAATTGTGCATCAAGAAGACTCATTTTTGTCTCATGTGTGTCTTTGCATCGATTCTTTATACATAAGTCTACATAAAATCCTGATATACTCTGTGTTTATTGCTGTACCTTTATTGTATTCATTCTTTTTATCGAAACAATTAATTTTCTCAATTGAATTAGAAGAAATTGTTGTTAAGAAAAAATATAAGTATCTCGCAATAGAAGATTAACAATATATTATTAATTTATGTATTTTTGGAGAAATAGAAAATAATTTGTGGAATAATATATTCTCGAAGATGAGTATTTGATAAACGAACTATTATTCGATAATAGTTATTTGTCGCACGTAAATTTGATGATAAATTTTAAACTCGCATTTTTTAAAAGCTTACTGCTTTGTAAAAAAGATAAAGTTTAAGCGATGATAAGAATAAGCGAAATTTTTATAAGATTAGCCAATTTCATGCGTCGAAATAGTAATATAATATTGGAAAAATAAAAAAAAATGTATAGTAATCAACTATGTAAATAGAATATACCAACTTTACTATAATAAAAGCTGTAAAAAGATATAAGTATAAAAATTCCTTAAGTAATAAATAATTTTCGTTTATAAACAATAAGTTGCGGCCATCGTTTAATTTAAATAATTGTTGAATTTTGGAGTTCAATTTTACCTTTTATTAAAAAATATCTCCTATTTTCCGTTTTCTGATGAAAAGATTTCTAACAATCACGTATATACACCGTATTTACAGAAGTTTAAATTTAATATGATACAATACATTAACCGTGTTTTCGACTTGACAAATATAGTTTCTGCGTGCAAAGCGTTAGCATCAGGAATAATTTTAGTGACCGCGATGTATACACGAAGGATCTTCTTTTCTTTCAAAATATTTTACAGTTTTTAAACACATTCTTTAGGAGCCAAGAATACTTTTAATGCAAAATCATGATGAAGTGATTACTGCAAAAAATCAATCAATTCCTTTTGCAAACCGAATTATTGCTTTCGAACATGTCCGAAGAAATAAATTATTGAAAGAATGTTGATATTATTAACATCAGATTATATATATATATATAACTGCACTAGTACGTGTAAATAGATATACATCAAATTATTGTTTTAATATACATGTATCGCTAATATTATCATTCTGAACTTAGGATGTTTTGTTTAATGTTCTCTCTCTCTCTCTCTATTTATATATATATATATATATATATATATATAAGTGTAAACATTTTTGCAATATTACAATAGCATATAGTGCAATGCATCATGTGCAAGTATTACAACACTATTATGTTGTTTCGATAAGGATTATTAGAAAATATTACTTTTCTTACCTCAAATCTATAAGAGGTAGAAAATCGACGTCTATCAGTGGTCTAAGACTGGGCAGGCTATACGTTGTGACGTGACCATTAGAAACATAGCATACCAGGCAGACATTATCTGGACAGAAATATTTTGTTGATAAATTACATATACTAAATTAGTTACATGAGAAACAGCGTAACAACGATAAATCGTATAAAAGTGACATTTCTCTCTCTATTCTAGCTACAACACCTGAATCATCTAAACAATTGGCAATACCTTTCAAAGTCGTAACCTCCGCTTTAATTACGATATGAGTTTCCGCCAACTGTTGCCTATATACACAATTCTGAGAGGGTAATGCTACGACTCTCGCTTGTTTCTCCGATGCAAGCACAACGAATTGTCTATCTTCAAAAGTATCTCCAGTAACTTGTGTATTCGTCGACGGTGACATTCGGCTATTTGTGCATTTCCCTTGACTCTCTTTAACCAAAAACCCACATTATTAATATCCATATTGCACGTAAAATTTCTCAGATGGACACATCTGAGATAGGCTATCGTTTTTTTTTTTTTTTTAATAAGATTCACGAAATTAAGAAATCTCGCAAAAGTTTGAGTTATGTTGTACATCGACCTTTATTTCTTATAGATATACGTAATTATAGTAAAGGAGATGTAAAGCCTACTGTTGCGTTCTTTGCCATCCACATTTTCGTCTTTCCAAGATTCGAATGAATATGGAATCAACGCACCGTTGCAATCTAAGAACGACATGGAGAGGATACAACCCTTGAGTTTGAAAGTAGATCCATCTGCGTGCAATGAAAGACAACGTGAAACTTCATATCACATACACATGGTATAATCTTAAAGCTGATTAAAGCTGTCAAGACATGATGATTTGTGAGATTCTACTAAATATTGAATGTAACGAGGAAGGTTTACTTACTACAGGTAGACACAACCACTGGATGAGCGTGACGTTCTCCGTGAGCAGGTGTATTGAATACAACAGTTTGTACAGATCCCAGGGATGTGCCAATCCACAAAGTTGGCAAACCGTTTGTATCTTGAAAAGCAATTGTATTAATATGAATAATATATATAGTCTGTGTGAAAGAAGTGCTGCACGAAGAAGACTTTTCAAAAAAAAAAGTACTACTAATGATTTACAGATCTTAACAATGAAATATATACCGAACTACTACATACCACTTTTTTTTATATAAGAATCCGCAAATGTAAGGCAGCTTATGGTTTCCGTAGTGATATTTTCGAGGGACGACATACTCGAGCTCCTTGATCTTTGGAAAGAGCCGTCAAATTTGTCTACCCGACCAGCAATCCAAACAAAAAATTCTCGATTATTTATAGAATAAAATGCTTAGGATTTTCTCGATTTACTAAGAGGCATGCACAAATGGCTATTGAAATTATTTTTGACACGTTTGCATCGTCTTTACATGGTGTATATCGCAAAGTATAACTAGCGAAGTTAGAACATTTATCAGAAGTAGCAGCTTCAAGAGGACAGTAATAATAATGTTTGTGACTGAGAATGAAAATGCTGTTATGACAACGATGATGACGATGACAATAATAATAATAATAACAGCGACAGCAACAACAACAACTATCACGATTAGAGTTCCTTGACTGGGCAGTTCACATCTTAATACCTTTCATACACTTTATACTCATCAGAACTTATAAATATCAAGTAAAAGTCATAAATTTACACACAAACGCACAAAGACGCAGACACATTCACACCTACGTACGTACGTACGCACGCACGCACGCATAAAGTGTCATATCCAATTAGCGCGTAGAGTATCATTTACAGACCTAATTATTTTCATTGAAGTATATTAAATAAACGAGTGGTAAAGAGCACCACTCTCGCATGCACGTATCAAACATTTGAGTAATTGCTCTCGGCGAACATATCGTCGATAAAATTCGATCGAGTTCTCCTACTATAAATCTGTACGTTTTATGCAACTTGTAAGCCTGGTGAAATTTCGAGAAAAAAAATCTATAAGTTGCTCCCTAATTTAACGTGCATGTTTCCAGCCATAAGTCGTTTAGAAATACACAGTCGAGTATCATGTTAAGTAACGTATCAACATTCGTTGAACACAAATCAGTGCAGTATATTATTCAACACCGTACATATCACAAGATGAATATACTCCAAATAAAATATCATTTGGAACGCGATGAGAAAGAACACAATACATATAAAATGAATTTGTTCGTAGCGAGAGGCTTAAGGTTTGGGTATTGGTATGCACAAGGCACTAAAAAAAAATCACAACTTATTAATAATGGGATTCAAGTAGGGTCCCGTTTTAGAAGAGAGTTGTATAAGAATTGCTGAAATTTTCGAATAGCACAACACAATGAAAAGCAATGTTATAATATATACGAAAGAATCCGTTCACAAATGTGGACAGAACGATAATCTTGATCGTAAAAATAGTTGTCTTTTTTTTCTTATTCTTTTCAATCGAAACTATAAGAGCTGACCATTAATATATGACTTCTTCGGCGTACAATTGTTTGCACATTTATCTTGCACGGTCCACTTTTTCCACTTTAATATGTCCACACAGGGTGCGTTTTTTAGAATGTGCTAAGAAGTAATTGTTTCAAATGCAATGTTAGACCACATCTAAGAAGATATCACATAAAAGAAGCAAAAATCAAAAGTTTGCCACATAGGCGAAAACGAGAACAATAGGGAAGAGTACATCTCTTCGAGGGTGCAGTGTGACAGCTAGAGATCACGCAGTCCAGACGATGTGCCATTTTGTGTTTGTTCAGAAAAGATCCGCTAAAGAGCACGTTAGAAGGAAAGAGATGCATTGTAGTAAGAACTACCGAAGTGATTTTCAGACATTCAGATCAGTAAAGACCAGACAGTATCTATTGATTCTAGATAATAGAAAAATGTATGTCGTGCTGAAAGGATCTCAGGAACAACGTTTTGTTCGCAAGAATGTTCCACATTTTATGAATAATCCCAAATTTGTGTGTGTCACTATAATATTTTTCTAACAAATACTATGGAAGAAATATATATATATATGTATTAATAAAAAAATCATTATTAGAAATTGTGCAAGTTTCCGAATGAAACCTTATAAAAATTGATTTCAGAGAATGAACTAGAAATGAAGAGGAAAAATATCGGAAAAATCGGAGAAAATTTTAGGAAAAAATGCGTACGCAACAAAGTGTAAAAAACTTAAATTATTGTTTTCTCGTATCAAAACTGTTGAAACAAAGAAGAAGACGAAACATGAGCCGTAAAATAACGCTGCGCGAGAGATCCAGCACCCTCCGAGAAATTTTTCTGAGAAGAGTCATCCATAACGAAGTGAAACTAAAAGTCAAGCGATCAGAGAAGAAGTAAGTATAGCTTTCTCATTCGGTGTTACAGAGATAGTCGGTGGTCTACGTAGTCCATACAGCATAAATAATTAAAGTTACAATTGGCTGTCGATAATACTACCGAAGCTGCTATACTGTCTGGTGTTGGTGAGGATATTCTGGTAGTTCAAAGACGCTTGAGAGACGGCGGCGGGGCCCGAATCCACTTCGAAGTGGCTGGTAGCTGTACTCAAACACTTCTGGAGCTTCCTTATGCCCTGTGTGCGTGGGTGGCGTGGATCTAACGCGACACCCTTGCGAGACACCGTGTTAATATCTTCATCTGTAGCGCTAATCATGCCAACGGCATTACGAATACCCGAGCGAGTTATGCTAACACCGTCACTGTTGTAGGCGCCGTTGTTGCTGCCGCCGCCGCCGCCACCGGTGCTACAACCATCACTATTATCACGTATGTCACTTCTCTCACCACCAACACCCACTGTACTTCTTCCTGTCATCGGCAATACGCACATCCCGTTCATCTACAAATCAGTGACAAGTCAAACGTGGAAAAAGCATACGACTCGATCGTTGCTTTCGATTATAAGGTAAAGTTATGTGCGGATTGGGCTTTTGTGTGAAAATGTTTCAAGGAACGCGGGCGTTTCTATCAAACTTCCGTTAAAACGAAGTAGCAGAAGCGCGTAGAGAAGCCATTTTCCACCCTCATTTGCATTTTCGATGACGTATCGTACCTACGCATCTTATATCAATAGACAAAATATTATTTGTTGACGGTGTACACAAAGCTATATTAGCTTTTTCTTCATATTTCAGATGCATATACATACAGAGAAAAGAGATCCCCTTCTTTATTGTAATATTTATTGGTTACGGTGGAATAAATTGAATCATAAGTTTTATTGTTTATGCTCAATAAAAAAATATATGTATAATTTAAAATTAAGTAGCAGAGAGGCGTGTATTATAATTCATAATAATATCGTACTAGAACAAAGTCAAATAAAATTAAATCATAAATAATTATAAGCTGATGCCAAAATGTATATGTATCGAGATAAAATATATTATTGCGAAGATTTCTGAATCGTATAAACTGTTTCATAAGAGTTCTGTCGGTGTATATATTTCACACACATCCACGCATATATACATACACACTACACACACGCGCGAATACACACATAGTGTGCGATACATTGAAAAATAAATTCCCACCCCAAAATCAAAGAGACTCTATTGAGTATTAAAAATAATGAAGCTAGAAATATGACAACTCAGACATATATTTTAACTAGAATAAAATGCTTTACAATGCAATTGTTTCTGGTTCTTTATTATCTTGTAATATTCATGTGCAAAAAAGACGATTATTACTATCATTATTATATGATACATTCACACATATGTATATATGTGAAAATTTGTCTTAGGATATAAAGATTTGTAAGATTACTAGAAGTTTCATTAAGCAAAAAAATCCAAAGAGATTAAACCCTTTTTTCTTGTATACCTCATAACACAGTGTCTTGTTGCGCGGAAACGAACGACAACCCTTGATAAAAACAGATTGAACATTTCTTTTACTTAATACGACAATTCTGATTGTTTTTTTCGACTACTCGAAAAGTCGGAGAATTCTTGTACGAAGGAATAGTCATTGTTGTTGTCTGTATTAAGGATGATGTATGGAAGATCTCATAAGAGAAAAATGTCGTAATGATAAATATCGAAAAACACCTGATTTTGTACACATTTTGTACCGGTTCGCAGTTGTTTGCTATGTGGAATATCAGCATATTATGCAGAGTCCTCTATAGCAGTCAGTCAATGTTGAGGTAGAAAGAAAATGTGGACTTGCAAAGCGTCCTATAAAGAGCAACTGCCTATGACACATATTAATATGTGTATAAATTGATATATATATATATATATATATATATATATATATTCTTCATCAATAAAGAAAAATGTAAAAATGACTTTGTCTTGTTGTCATTGATGATGCCACGACCACCAGTGTTATTATTATTACTATTGCTATTTGCGTGCAAACCATCGAAAAAATCTCCAAAAGCTTTGAAAACAATGTTGTACCGAGAGAAAGGTGTCTGGATAATATACAGGAACAATAATTATAGGAAAGAAGAGAGAAGTCACACGCGTTAGTTGTATGTATAGAAATTTATAGGCGAATGAAAGTATGCTTGATATATTTTTTAGGAATAAATGAATAGTCCGCGTTCTTTACATGACCGAGCTCGACACATATCGACGATAAATTACTGCCTGTCAATTTGTCATGTGTAATTGTATATCCTGATTGAAATCTTGGTATCAAGGAGTGTACTTTTCTCTCGGTTGTAAGAGACAACTGCCAAAATATGTAAAACCTTGTTTTTACCTGAATCGAGCTTGCTGTCAGGGAAGACCGCAAAACTGATTTGAACCTGAAAAAGCGTTAAAGTAGAATCTTTTCAAATTCGCATTGCAGTGTAAAGTGTGGATGAAAGACTCGTCGCTAGTACGAACAGGGTCGAGTTACTTCCTGCTGATATTCCCGTGGGAATATTTCCCAAAATTTGCGAGCATGAGATCAATGTTTGCAAGGAATAAACGTAGCCATAAAACTTGAAACGAGGTTGACACCAATGGGTACCAAGGATCAAACGGGAATAATGCACTCTCAAAGTATCTACTATGCATTCCAGGTACTGGTAACCTAGGGGTAAGAGAATACTAGAAATCTTAAATATGGTGTGTGTGTCTGTTTTCTGACCTATTGATCGATTGTCAGGGTGAATGAGTTGCAAACTAAGAATTGTTCGGTAAGGTAATTTTTTAAGGGGACGCATTCGATGTAATTTAGCGAGTACGAAATGAGACGTTGACATATTTTCGCTAGATATAAATTTTTCTGAAAATAATACATCACATTTACGAATGCAAATTTAACAGCGCGGAGATATTTGCGGCAAAATGTTTGCACAGCATAATTTTTCGCAGTCTGCCCAATAGTCTTACAAACTTGCACCCTCGTTTTTCTATGAAGAATGGCGAAACTTGTAACTATCATTATAATATAATAGGTACAAGTTGTAACACTGACCTTGTTACGTCAACTAATAATTGACAAATTGGAAAATTTCCTGCTTACGCGTGAATTCGTAGTGTTTGTAGGCATCTTCTGTGTGCAATCAAAGCTAGGAATATGTTTTAAGAAATTATTTCCAGCATATATCAGCGTATTATCGCGGATTACCCTCTAGTAGAGAAAAATGTCTGCACTCTTCTAGAAATTTTGAAGTTTTCTCTTCATTACATATCGAAGGAACATCGACACACTTCTCGCTCTAATTGTGTGACGGAGTTTTATCATAATTATGACCGAATTTATTGACTGACCATTATATTAGACTCTACATTTTGCGTGACCAGATCTTACGGAAATCTCTTATTCCACATAACTATATGGAACAATAAAAAGATATATACTTATTAACCAATTACTTTGTATATCAGCAAATCTCGCAATTAACGAGTTTTACAACGCTTCTATTATCGAGTTCTTGTATGCAAAGCCTTGTTTTTAAAAAGCGATAATTATAAATAATCACCCCTTTGTTCTATTAATATCTAGTAGTATAAGAAATAAGAAAATAATCGCGGAAATTATGTCTATATTTAAATAAGATGTATATAAATGAATAAAAATAAATACGTAAGTAGTTATTTTCGCACTGTATGTTAAAAAAAAACACATATAACACATGCCCTTGAAATACACGATGAACGTGAAATAAATTGTTATTTTTAATTTTTCAATAAAATATAGAGATATATATCAACAATGTTTAAATTGCAATATTTTAACAGCACTGCTAGTCTGATATGAATTCTATTAGACATGCAATAAGTAAAGAATACTAATATTGAGTAACTATATGAAAAGTTGCGAGCTATTTGATTTAGTTTTATGTATATAAATATATTGTTTAGATTTATGTGATCTGTATATATAGATTTATAAAAAAATAAAAAATTCAATAAATTATCAACATCAAGACATCTATTCATATGAGACTAATCTGTTGCTCGCTAATATTTAGGTTTCTGAGGGTTTATTATGATTTCCTTGTAAGAAGTCACGCGATAGAAGTGCCCATTATTAACTAAATATTGAGACTGATGTGTGTTTCACATAAACCTTTGATGATGACATGTTGTAATGAAAGCCAATATTGAGTAAGAAAAAGAAGATATCATTTTTTATCATTGTACATTGTCATGTGTAGTTAAATATCCAATTTTTGAATTAGCTGTATAATTAGGTCAACATAAGATGTCAGTTCCAAATGTACGAAGCATTCATTTCATACATTTGTTTAATTAATTAATTGTAATAATTTACTCAATCTTGGCGGAGATGCAATTAGTATGAGTCATGTAAATATTTCCTCTGAAAATAATCTTGTACGCATCTAAGAGCATCCTAGGCCTTGTATTAATGAAAGAAAAAAAAAAATCAGAGGCAGAAAAGCACGTTCAGGACCAGCCGAGCTCTCTCTATGGTTAGTCTACACCCACCACATGTTCTCAGTCACAGATACAGATGCAGAGTTTTATCGTTAATCGCTTGCCGATCAAGAAAGATTTTGACCGTTAATAAGATTAATTGTACGCACACATTCACATTTAACGTGAAAATCTAATTAAGTCATATCTCTAAGGACACACGGACGACACATAGCGCTCTTCTACATTAATTGCAAACACTTACTGAATCTTCTTATAAGATTGCAGGTGAACGATTCGGATGTAACGCTCTCTTCGCACCTTAGGTCGCAAACAGTCGTCTCATTCTTGGGAAATTTCAGATTCGGCACTGAGAGCAAGCGGTTATCTCTCTTCGTTTGCTTCATCTTGGCCATACGCTTCAGTCTCGGCGGTTTAACTTCGTGTTCAGGCAAGGATAGGTTCATCGGCCTCACCGCCTCAGTTTTCATACTAATATTGTCGTTGTTTATTGTCGTCATCATCGTCGCCGTTGTTATTGTCTTTAGATCTACGCTTTCCGTTGGGCTTTTAGTTTCTTGAATCTCTCGCTTTCCATCATTTATCTCGGGATTTTCGAGCCCGGGCGATTGATTTTCCGGCGACAAGGAGGATTCAGAATCGACACTTTCGACCGGCGATAGTGAGCGACTTGTGCTGGCCGCTTCGCTCGTGTTGCAGTAAAATACAGAAGACTTTTGGTTGCCAGAATCGCCGCCTACTTGTTGGCACTGGGGTACTTGCATGAGCCCCGATGATGAGCTCTTTCGAGAAAAAATAAATAAAAACGTATATCGTAAATTGTAAACATCGTTTAAAACTACGAAACGGAAGAGCGTGCAAGTACGGAAACCGGTTTCCGACAAGCGTATATAAAATATAACTCTCATAAAGTTACAAGCCAATGAAGAAAGATGCGTTGACATTATGTCACAGCTGTAAATACATATCGCAGGTATCATGAGACGCAACGATGCGATGGCTGCTGTTGCACTTTAAGTTGATATAGCAGTATATTAATAAGCATAGTCGAGAAGGAGAAAACTGCTTAAACGTTAAAGTGGCAAGCCTATGCGATAAACATTTCGCGAAGGCATGATCCAATAATAATGAAAACATAAAACAACTTAAAATTACTGACTTTTGTATGTTGGTATGTACTCGCGGATGATACAAAGAACGATAAGTAAAGCATACAAGTACCCCATTCTGAGAAGACACCAAGGACGGTGTAAAAGTATTTTTGATCTTCAAATCAACCTTGCTCAGTTGTCTCTTGAGACTGAATCTCTTCCAACCTTGACTTTTCTGACACTCGTCGCCATTAGGAAGGTTCCCTGTCTTATTAGGTTCGTTCATAGATTCCTCCCCACTCGGTTTATCCTTACTGATCTTAGTCTGACTTTCATTACGAAGGCATTGTTGCTGTTGCACTTGTGTGGAATCTGCTATCCTTGTGATTATTGGCTCGGATTCCATTGCGGATTCTCGCTGGCTCTGATGAATTCAAGATGTTGGACTTTGTACGGTCAATCAGTTCGCAGGTAAAAAGAAGTAAATTATACATTTGACCTATTTCTAAGAACTCTAAAGATGTCTTTTTGTGCAATTTTTGCGCTCTTGTGTTCCGTAAGTGTTCACCAATAGTGGTGTAGACTAATCCTTTATATCGTGCTGTTACATGGTCTGCCGTGTATGTAAACGCGTAGAATTTTTGTAATATGCCTAAGACGAGAGAGAAGCAAATTTAAACCGAAAATTATCATATATGTATGTGGTCACTTGTCACTTCCCAGGCTCAAGATGAAAATGTGAAAATCTTTTTTCGAAGAGTGCAGACAATGATGGTTTTGGATACAAATCGTCTGCCTATAAACGAAATGCCTAAGATGCTCATAGAAACGTAGGTCCTCGTATTTATGACATCGCTGAACGATGAAGCACGCACGCACGCACGCATACGTAACATATATAGTATATATTATACGTGTGTGTGTATATATATATATACACACTATATATATTCTATATATACACATATATATTCTATATATACACATATGTATATTTACATCTATATTTATTGAGCATGTGCGAAAGATGCAAATATTGCAAAGAAAACCGACCATCGTCTTTGTAGAATAGAATCTATGAGTAGCTGAGCCATTTTTTACTAGTAATTTTCATCTCACTCATTTTAAAGGTAAATAGAATATGTTAGAGAGCAATTTAATAAGTACTATGTGCAATATATGCATTACATCAGTAAGATGGCAGTACTATGTAACGATATAGACAAGCGTGTACAGATTACATATACAAAAATGTTACACGTCTATCTAATTACTTAGCAGAAGCTATATAGATACTCTGCATGATTTGACAAATTTATTTTACAATCATAAGGCGGAATAAAATCATAATCTTTACCAACATTTACAAAATTTTGTGACACGGAACAAAATGTACATTAAATTAATTTTGAAACAGCTTTATTTTAGCAATTAATTTAATTTGTCATTTTTATATTAACCATTATACACATATACATAATCTCTACTAATGATGGCTAAATTAAAAAATAATTATATACAGTAATGTATTAACCGTCAAATTTTCTAAAACCGATACTTTCTATTTCAAAATTTCTAATTAAAATATTAAAATATATTATGTTACACATCTATTAAAAAAAAAAAAAAAAAAAAAAAAAA